ATTTATTTATATATTATACTTTAAGTGTAGGGTACATGTGCATAAACGTGCAGGTTTGTTACATATGTATACTGTGCCATGTTGCTGTGCTGCACCCATCAACTCGTTCAGTTCTACTCAGGTATAACTCCCACGCGGCCCTCCCCCCCTTCCCCCCTCCCCAGGAAGCCCCAGGTGTGGGGGTCGAATGGCGCCGGTTTCTGAGTCAGGAGTTAGTTGTTCGTCGCACACATGCAAGTGAGGAGAACCTGCGCGGGGGATGTTCGCGGTTTTCTGTCTTGTTGATGATCACAAGGTTGCAGTCAAACTCTTCTTCAGGGGCTGCCGTCATCTGAACATTCGACTTAGGGAGGATCCATTTCCAAGTTCACTCACATAGTTGTCAGCAGACCTCATTACTTGCTGGCTAACTGTAGTCTTCGGATCCTCACTACGTGCATCCTTCCGTAAGCTGCCTGAGTGGCCTCACAGTGTGGCAGCTGGCTCCACCAGAGTAAAAGATTGGAGGGAGAGAATGAGTATGAGAGTGAGCTCACACACCCAATACGGAAGCTTCTCCTTTTATAACCTATTTCAGCAGTGACATACTATCTTCTCTGCTATATTCTGTTGGTCACACAGATCAGTCCTGGTGGCGTGTGGGAGGAGATTACATAAGATTGTGAATATCAGGAAGTAGAGATCATTGGGGGCCATCTTGGCTGGCTACCAAATTAAATATAACACAAATTCAGAAAACTACATAACACAAATGTTCATCTTAATGAATGATTATGTCAGAAAATATTAGAGACTTTCTCCTTGTGACGTACTCTATCACCGTCCTTTGGTTCTTCTCATAATCACTATGTGGATTTTTAGTTTTTTTAAGTGACGAGGTAAAATTTATTCCCTGTTGAAAGTCTATCTGCTTCATTTTAATTGTTCCTAATTTATCTTTTCATGGAGGCACATTATTGCCGTCTCCTTATTGACATATATATTTCAGAAAAACAGCTAAAGGTTCTATCGATGGTTCTTTTTTTTTAGGAGCTTGTGCAGTGGAAGGGTCAAAGAAAACTGATGTTGAGGAGAGACCAAGAACAACACTGATCATCTGTCCGCTTTCTGTGTTAAGCAACTGGATTGTAAGTCTTTAAGCCCTTTAAAAATGTAGCATAATTTGTATTTTATCTATAAGGTAAAAAGTATTCTGTTAAAGACTCATTAATTGGGGAAAATATACTTGGTCATCAGTTCGTATCTAAGTTCAAATACTCGTCAGGTGAATTGGATTATGTTTGCTGAATTGAAGAAATTTTTCTTTGTAGAAGGTAAAGGAACATAATCAATTGCTAACTTAAGATTTTGTTTGTATTTCTGCCTTTGCTATTTTTGTCCCCCAAAGTGGGAAAGATGTATAGTTTGACTCCTCTACATTTACAGATTGACTATTGGAACTCTCTTTTCTAAGAGCTCAACCAACAGTAACTGACTTTTATAACAATAACAACAGTTAGTCAACTCCTATTTATTTGGTTTGTCCTTAACCTCTTTTTAAGGATTTTTCTTATTTAATTCGCATAACTATTATCCTGATTTTCCAGGTGCCCACATTGAAACACAGAGAGGTTAAGTAACTTGCCTAAGGTCATCCAGCTAATAAATGATGGATCTTGGATATAGTTTCCAACATTTTGAATCTAGAGCCTGTCCTTTTAAGATTACCCACCAGAAATTTTTTTTTCCAGATTGCTTTTCTGTTCTGAAACATTGACATTGGAATGGAACCTTTTCATTAATTGTTTATTTGCAGCCTGGATATGTTTTCTTCCTAGTTTGAGCTGCAAACTTCTTGTTATAGTGAAATAATGACTCTCTTGGAATCCCTGTGAATATAAGGACCACTCACCACTCTTGCCACTTCCAAGTTATCTGTTTATCTCTCCTCGCCATTCTTCTTAGAGGAGGAAGAGATCGTACTCTTTAAGACCAGTATTTAATCTCTACATTGGATTCTCTCTTTTCCCACGTTTGCTTATCTGTTCTTTTTTCCCTTGTTTATTTAGTCTCTTCCCACTGGCTCTTTCCTGATACATACTCAGGTTTTTTTCATTTTAAAATACATTCTCTTGATATACATCTTTAAGTTGCTGCTCTTCTGCTTTCCTTCACTATCATACTCTTGGGGGTTAATTTCTACTTTGTGCTTTTACTTACTAATTCCTTAATTCATTGTAATCTGGCTTCTACCATTAGTTCTCTAAATTGCATTGGAAAAGACTACTTGTGATAGTCTAATTGTCAAATTTAGTGACCTCTTCTTGGCTTTATATAGTCTTTTTTTCCATGACATGAATTATCTTTTTTTATATAAGTTTTTGGTTTATTTATTTTAAAAGAAATAAATCCACCTTGTCCTGATTAGTGTATCATTTTTCCTCTAAGGACCGGAAGAATGAATGTTAATGGTCTGTTGCTGTTTTTTTATTCCAACAAAACTGTTCTTTCTTTAATTTGTTGTTTGTTATGGGAAGGATAGTTCATGGGTACTTGAATGGCAGTTTTGGGATAAGGTTTAGAGTATTAATGGAGGTATAAACAATATAACTGCTATTATTTTAGGGCTTGGGGTATAGAGATGTATTTTTAAAATGGACAATCAGTATTTAATTATAATTTTATATTTAGAAAAGTTCAGGTAATGTAAAGTTCAGAAAGGAAACTGTGGCAAAATCTTGCCAGGTGAGATCATGCACACTGAATTTAAAGGAATGAGGGGTGGTTTGGCATATAGGGATTCCTGGTTGTGTTAGTCCATTCTTGCATTGCTATAAAGAAATAACAGGCTGGATAATTTAAGAGGTTTAACTGGCTCATGATACTGCAGGCTTTACAGGAAGTATGGTGCTGGCATCTGCTTCTGGTGAGGCCTCAGGAAGCTTACACAACCTCAGGAAGCTTACACTCTTGGCAGAAGGTGATGGGGATCCAGCATCACACTGCCGGAGTGGGAGCAAGAGAGAGAGTGGAGAGGTGCTACAAACTTAGAAACAACCAGATCGCACGTGAACTTAAAGAACTCACTCATCGCTAAGGGGTTAGCACGGAGCCACTCAGGAGGGATCCGCCCCTATGATCCATACACCTCCCACCTGCAGGCCCCACCTCCAACACTGGAGATTACATTTCAACATGAGATTTGGAGGGGACGAACATCCAAATGATCTCAATGATCAGGAATTAAAATTTCACAGTCTTAACAAGATACTCTCTTCCTGGCTCTCAAGTAAAGGATCTAGCATTCTGCAGAGCAGGCTAGAACTGACTTATATTCCCTTTTTTGTCTCAAATAATCCAGGTAAAGGAGTAGAACCTGGGTACCAATCCTACTTCTACCACATATTTGTTCTGGATATTTAGACAAGTAATCTCATGAAATAACACCTATTTCATTTTCTGTTGAGAGGATGATATATACATACATCGACAGAATAGCCTAACACTGTCTAGAAATGGAGTAACTATAGTTCTCTCCCTTCATTCTCCAGAAAAGCTGATTTTCTTCTCTTCTGAGTGTAATCCCTTTATAAACATGCACTGTCTCATTTCAAGGCCACCCATTGATTCAGTTTTCTCATATTGGATTCTTTGTTATGCTGGATTCTAATCTCCTTTTCTTCTTTACCAAATTTATTTAAGAAATTCTTTGCGTTTTCAGCTTTACTTTTTCATGTTTTATCCTCTCTGCATTTTTGCCTTTATTATTTCATGTTTAATACTTTCTTCAGTCCTTGGTAGTCTGGTTGTTGCTTCCACTCCCTACAAAAACTCCCTTTGCAGAGATCTTCAGACTTCAGTATTGCCATGTCCAATGAGCTACCCTTTTCCTCTGCCTTGAATATGTTACTCATTTATTACTCTTTTTTTTATGTCTTATTTTGTAAGCTATCTCTAAACCTTCTTGTAAAGAATGGGAATGAAGATAGATGACAAATTAAAAGTTCACCTTATTTTTTTTTCTTGATACTTTTATATTCTTTGGATCCCAGGCCTTTAACCTTTATGTTTGTTGTCCTGACTTAACTGTTTCTCTTTGTTCTGGTTCCTATTAAATCTGCCTTTTCTGTATTTCCATACAATATGGAGTTTTTTTAAAAGAGTATTTTAAAAAATGTTAATTAGATCTCCATTTAGTCATCAAGATTCAAAAAGTACCAAAAGTCTGACACATGTGCTTTCCTTTTTTTTTTTGCTGGATTTTTTTGTTTGTTTTGTTTTGTTTTTTGAGACAGAGTCTTGCTCTGTCACCCAGGCCAGAGTGCAATGGCGCATCTCAGCTCACTGCAACCTCCAGCCCCCAGGTTCAAGTGATTCTGCTGCCTCAGCCTCTTGAGCAGTTGGGATTACAGGCACGTGCCACCACGCCTGGCTAATTTTTATATTTTTAGTAGAGACGGGGTTTCACCATGTTGATCAGGCTAGTCTCGAACTCCTAACCTCGTTCCTCCCGCCTCGGCCTCCCAAAGTGTTGGCATTACAGGCGTGAGCCACTGCGCCTGGCCTTTTTTAAAGAAAGAATCTCATTCCATCACCCAGGCTGGAGTGCAGTGGCACAGTCGCAGCTCACTGCAACCTCTGCCTCTTGGGTTCAAGTTATTCTCATGCCTTAGCCTCTTGAGTAGCTGGAATTATAGGTGCGCATCACCATCACCACCACCACCATACCCAGCTAAGTTTTGTATTAGTAGAGGCAGGGTTTTGCCATGTTGGCCAGGCTGGTGTCGAACTCCTGACCTCAAGTGATTCACCCACCTTGGCCTCCCAAAGTGCAGGGATTACAGGCATGAGCCACTGCACCTGGCCTAGAATATTTTTAATTATACCCCAGACATCATGTAATTTCTCCCAATAAAAACATGTCTTCTCCTTACATATTGGTATTCTGTAGACTCTGTCCCTAACGTTTGCTCACCGTACATGCTCTCTTTAGGAAATTTCATTCATTCTTATAGCTGTAAATATTGTCTGCTGTTAACTTTAAAATTCATATCTACACCTCTCACTTTTACCTACAGGTAATTATTTACGTTTTCCTAGTATACTTCTTCAGTCAGGTATTCTATAGTGACCAAAAATGATAAAGGTCTAAAATATCTTTTTCTTACTTGGATGCCACTTTTCCCTTCTTCTTTTTTTTTTTTTTTTAACTTCCTTATATTTTAATCACACAATTCTAGGTAGTCATTGAAGTATCAGAACATCTTAGTCTTATTATTTTTATTCATATTTCATATTTAATTAGTCCCCAAGTCCTATCAGTCTTGTCTTAGTTTCTTTCTTTCACACCTGTCCTTTCCACCCTGTTCCTACTTCTACCGTGCTGGTTTAGGGCTTCATCATCTCTCCCCTCATAGCTTCTGTGCTGTGTCTCCCTGGTATCTTCTCTTTTCAACTTAATCAGGCTGGTTTTTTCTGCTGAAAATCTTCTAGGTCTGGTGTTTTCATGATTAAAAAAAGTAATAAGTTTTTAAAACTGATCATATCCTCAAGAAAGTCAGGGATGATTATTTGTTCTTCGTTTTTAGTTACATCACTGTTGTAGTTGATACCTGGCAAGTAGTAGGCCAATTAATAAATGAATGAAAGTGGCTACAGTGCTTGAATCTCTGCCCGCATCCTTGAAATATTGGTGGTTGTTCTTTCACTGTTTAATTTTTATATTATTAAATCTGCTAACTAATACAGCATTAAAGAGCCTTCTAATTAAAATATTTTTATAAAACTCGTTATTGTTTTAAAGAACTTTGGATTTTCCTCCTAAAAATGAATCAGTTGCTGATTGGTAGGGCCAAGTCAATTTTAAATAATGTGTTACTATTACTGTGTGTGTGTCATTTTTCTTATTGTTATTATTTTGGTCTAGACTGCAGGAAACTTGATTTCATACAATTTTAGTAGTTGGATTTGTCACACTACTGCCAGGGCAGTTACTTTTTTATACATGTATTAAGTCTGACACTAATCTGCTCATTGTTAAAAATATTCCTAATTTTTCTTTAGGACCAGTTTGGACAACATATAAAATCAGATGTACACTTGAATTTTTATGTTTATTATGGTCCTGATCGTATTAGAGAACCGGCCTTACTTTCAAAACAGGATATTGTTTTGACTACATATAATATTTTAACTCATGACTATGGAGTAAGTATTGCTGATACTTAAGAGATCTTTTAAAGATTGAATGTAAGAAATATGCCACAGGTTTCTAGAGTGTTCCAAAATTCAGGTTTTATACTTTTTTTCTTTTTAAATACTTAATAATATATAGAAAATGAATGTTTTTTTTTTTTTTTTTTTACTTTTTGCATTAAAGGGGGGTTGCATCTTATTTAGATGCTAATTTAGGAATATTTTTCTTTTCTCCTCTCCTCTCCTCCTCTCCGCCTCCCTCTCAGTGGAGTTTTGCTGCTGTTGCCCAGGCTGGAATGCAATGGCACAATCTCAGCTCACTGCAACCTCTGCCTCCTGGTTTCAGGTGATTCTCCTGCCTCAGCCTCCCAAGTAGCTGGGGTTACAGGCATGCACCTTCACATTCAGCTAATTTTTTTAATTTAGTAGAGATGAGGTTTCACCATATTGGTCAGGCTAGTCTCGAACTCCTGACCTCAGGTGATCCACCCACCTTGGCCTCCCAAAGTGCTGAGATTACAGATGCCACCACACCCAGACAGGAATATTTTTCATTTAGAACATTTTAAGTTAAGATTTAAAATTTGGATTGTAAGTATATAAAGCAATTTGTAAATGAATTCTATTTTCTTTTTTAATATTCTGGAAAATTATTTTCTATCACAATGATTTGATTAATATCTCAGTTTGAAGGTATGCTTTTTTTGTAGTTACAGTTCATAAGTTTTCCAATTAGTCTAATTGATTTTTACCTTCATAATTCCAATTGTTCAAAAGTTAAAGTTTTTTGAAAAATACCGTGCTATCAAAATTTCAGTCTTCTGATAAAAATATTACCTTTTATATAAAAGAAAGTAATGTTGAATTCAAGTAATTCTTACAACTGCCATTTTCTGTATCATTGCTATGTTTTAATCTGAGGTAGAACAGTTCAGTGTATTGACCAGTGACTCAACAGAGAGCTAGACTGCTTGGGTTTGAATGCTAGTTCTGCCATTTATTACCTATGGTGCTTTGGGTAACATACTTAGCAGTTTGTGCTTCAGTTTTCTCATCTGTAAAATTAGGTGTGCTAATAAGTACTTATTTTATAAACTTGTGAGTATTCAGTAATTATTGTGCTTAAAGCAGTACCTAGCACACAGTAAATTTGATATTAAATAATGATAGCAACTAGTTAGCAAATCATATTAAGTACTATTTTACTTTCCTGTGTTTTTTAATTCATATAAAACATTTATTTCAGACTAAAGGGGATAGTCCATTACATAGCATAAGGTGGCTAAGAGTGATCCTGGATGAAGGACATGCCATACGAAATCCAAATGCTCAGCAGACAAAAGCTGTACTTGACTTAGAATCAGAAAGAAGATGGGTTTTGACAGGTAATCATAGCATTAAACTTATTAAAACTTTAAATCTCTAAAATGTATCGTTATGTAAGTTAGTAAAATAACTTAGTAAACTTCAAGTGGATGTAAAGTCTGCCCCAAAATTAATCCTAGAAATAATTTAATCAAATGTTTTGAGTTGTTTTTCATAATTGCCCATGATATAACAACATTTGACTTACTGATAATTTATGGAACAGTCACTAGACTTATTTTTGAACCTTAGAAATGGAGTAGACACTCTAGTCATCCAGTCATAATCCTGATTTCTGTTTCCCATCCTTGAACCTGTTTGCCATTCACAATACCTTTACTGGAAGGTAAGGAAAAGAATGTAAACTTAAACTAGTTGCTTTTTCCTTCTTGCTAGTGCTGCTGCTTTAAAAACCAAATAAGCAGATGTACTTGATAAGGAGAAAGTATTTTCCTCAGTCTTTTTCTTGGCTAGTGTGGCGTGTGAGAGCTAAAAATTAGAGCACAACTGTATCTTGAGATGTGTATATATTTAATAAAGCATTATAGTCAGCACTTGATAGTTTAATTTAATTGATAATGATGGGCCTGGTACAGAGTGCTCATTTTCAGTTGTTGTCTTCTCTGATTGGGCCAAATAGATATTCTTATTGGATACTCTGGTTAAAGAGTTACAACAGTTTCCTGTTATTTCTAGGGACTCCAATCCAGAATTCTTTAAAGGACTTGTGGTCTCTTCTTTCTTTTTTAAAACTTAAACCATTTATTGATAGAGAATGGTGGCATAGAACAATACAGCGTCCTGTCACAATGGGAGATGAAGGAGGACTTAGGTAAGTAATTTCAGACAGTGATTAATACTAGTTACAAATAACTGTTAGTAGCTTGAACCAGTTGTCACTTTCTTTACTATTTTAACTTGACTCTTAACTTTTCCTTCTAAAAAGTGTTTATGGCTTAATGCCTTTGTCTTTCAGAACCTAGTGATGCTTGTTTGGAAAGACAAAGATTTCTAATAGTCAATAACTACCCTTCTCGTGTTTTGGCTACACTGAAAGGAAAGACATAACTTTGTGTTTTTTGTGTGTTGCCAAGCCCCAAAGCCCCAAAACCACCATTAACAGATTTAGCAGGAAACATTGTGTATCCTTTGAGTCTCTAATATGCATTAAGTTTTCGTATCTTATATAGCTTTATTTACTTATTTGTTGTTTTTGTGTTTTGTTTTGTTTTGTTTTGAGATGGAGTCTTGCTCTGTCATCCAGGCTGGAGGGCAGTGGTGCAATCTTGGCTCACTGCAACCTCCGCCTCCTGGGTTCAAGTGATTCTCCTGTCTCAGCCTCCCAAGTAGCTGGGATTACAGGTGTGCTCCAGCACATCCCGCTAATTTTTGTATTTTTAGTAGAGACGGGGTTTCGCCATGTTGGCCAGGCGGGTCTCAAACTTCTGACCTCAGGTGATCCTTCTGCCTCAACCTCCCAAAGTGTTGGGATTGCAGGCATGAGCTTCCGCACCCGGCCTTATATAGCTCTATATAGTGAATGATGTGATGTCCCGTGACGTCAGCAAAAGTTGTATAGGAAAGTTTTATGTGGTTGTTTCTGGTGGAGATGGAGATAGATAAAAGTTGAAAACGTAAATTAAAATTCAGTAATAGCCATTTTGCAAGATGTAGACTAATGTGGTTCAACTTTTTGACTAAAGCGCCAGTTTATAGACTGAAGATTTGAGATCTGTTAGTGGGACATAAAATCATTATAAAGGTGGTAGCCAGCATTTAAAAAGACAATGAAATAGAGAAGAGATTAGTAAATATCAGAGTGCATGATACATGGTAAGTATTATTTTGTAAAATATTTGTTTCTTTTGTATGTGTTTGTATATTTTTGCTAGATAGAATAAAATGTGTTTCTTACTGTAAGTTATAGTGAAAAAGTTTCAAGAGCCACTAACCTAGTTGGCAGTACTATCCACTTGATTCCTCAAAACCAACTATTTAAACTCCAGGAAATTGTATTTATATTTCAATTTTGGGAAAAAACAAGAATTGATACATCTCTTTTTTCCAGTACTGAGAAGGAAATGTAAAGATTGTGGAACCTGTAAAGGATTTTTGTGTGTTCTGAATTACCATATTATCTTTTTATTTTGGAGGCACTCATTATTTTATACAATTACTTATTTATATACTTTTGATTTTCATATTACAGAAGGTAGTATCTTACCTATATTTGTATTCTTACAACATTTAATTCAGTGCCTTGCACTTAATAGATACTTAGAATCTGAGTGTTGACTGGTGATGGAATTGACAGGACAGTTGAAAAGTAAAAGAGTTAATGATTAGAACAAAAATGACGAGCAGAGCTTAAGAAAACAAGGACAGGATATAAAAAGATTCAACTATGATAGGTATTGAGGGTAAATTTCCATACATTTGTTTTAATAACTTTATTTTTGTAGTATACTTCTGTGATTATCAGATTGGTTAAAACCCCAAATAGGGGATTTTAAAAACACTTCTACAGAAACTGTAAAACAGTAACAAATTAAAATGTTATGTTTTGTTCTTCTTGGATCAATTTATATAGAAATTAAAAGGTACATAATTATTTGTTTTATTCTGATTAGGCGTTTACAGTCCCTAATTAAAAATATTACACTTAGAAGAACAAAGACAAGCAAAATTAAAGGAAAACCTGTTTTGGAGTTACCAGAACGTAAAGTATTTATTCAACACATTACACTTTCAGATGAAGAGAGAAAGATTTATCAGTCTGTGAAAAATGAAGGCAGAGCCACTATTGGAAGGTATGGAGAAAGAAAGCCATGTTAAAAAATAGTTTTTGTTTACTTTGTTTCCCATTCACTGAATGACATTATTTAGATGTGTTAGCAATAGTTTGAAGTATACCGAAAGATGATTTGCTTCTATGAATTACAGTGTTTTTTACAAATTAATAGTTAAGGTGAATGAAATAATAGTATAATTCACCAGGTAAGTAATTTCTTAAGTTAGGAAACAATTTAAAGCTTACATTAAATGACAAGTTCTCAATTACTAGCCAGAAGATTTTGCTTGCTTCTATTTCCAACATCGTATGGAAATCTGGGAATAGGAACTGATGAAACAGGGTTAACAAGAAGATTAAGGATTGGTAGAAGGTATGAAATTCTAGTCCAAGCAAGATCAGGTTTAATGTGAATGCCCATAGGAACAGAATGAATAAGAGACAAGTGAAAGCAGAACAGGACTGTGAAAGGGGAATCTTCAAAACATAAAAACTTCAGTGAGGTAGGTACAAAGCAGGTTTGGTAGGAATTAGAGAGAGTGGGAAAAATTGTTCTAAGCAGGAGATTTCTGAGTGCAAAATCTTATTTCTTTTCATATTCATTTTTTCAACAAAAATTTATTAAGTGCCCACTGTGCCAGGCACTTATACACGTTGGGATACAGCAGAATAAAATAGACAAAAATCCCTGCACTCAAGGAATTTATATTTTAATAGGAAGAAACAGATAATTTAAAAACATGATTAAGTTTTAAGGAATAAAGCAACGAAAGGGGATGGAGAATGCCAAAGCTGTTTTAGCAGGGTATTAAGAAAGACCTCACTGAGAAGATGATAAATAGGTAAAGATCTAAAGGAGATTGGGATTAAGGGGTGTTTCAGCCAGAAGGAAGAGCAAGTGTAAATGCTCCCAGTTGGGAGCATGCCTAGTGAGCTTGAAGAATAACAAAGATGCAAGTGTGGCTGAATAGTATGAACAAGAGAGAAAATAGTCATGATATCAGAGATATATTGGAATGGGGATATGTAACGCATATATCGAGGACTTTGGCTGTTACTTTTTATGACAGGAAACCTTAAAGGGTTTTGAGCCAGGAGAGTGACATAATCTGATTTATATTTTTAAAAGATCACTCTGGCTGCTGTGTTCAGGTTTAGGTTATTTGAATAGGAATAAGGTCAGAAGTAGGGAGACCAGTGGCAGTCAAAGTAAGAGATGATGGTGGTTTTTGCCATAGTAGTGATAAAGGGAGTGAGAAATGATTAGATTCTGTTAAATTGTGAACGTAGAACCAACAGAACTTGCTGGTTGATATGTTATGGCATGTGAAAGAGAGGAATCAAAGATAACTTCAAGCCTTTTTACCTGAATAACTGAAGGGATGAAATTGCCGTTTACCAAGACAGGTCTATGGGAAGAGCAGAGGTTTTTTTAAGCTAAGATCAGAAGCTCAGTTTGGACACATTGATCATAGGATGCCCGTGAAGTTTCCAAGTAGAGATATCAAATAATTAGTTGGATAGGAGAGTCAAGTTCAAAGTCACCTATGTGTGGATGGTAATTAAAGCCATGAGATCACCAAGGGAGTGAGTAAAGTCAAAGAAATCTAACTATGAAGACAGCAATGGCTGGTGAAATGGAAGGAATTGTCTAATATTTAGCACATGGTAGGCATTCAAAAGAGATCTCTTAAACTGAAATGCTGAGTATGGGTAAGTTATGACTGTGCCAGGGAATAATTAGTGTTAGTAAAGGTTATTCTATTTGAAAAAGTTGAAAAACTTTAACTTTACTGAAACTGTTCTCAGAAAATGTTATTTTTAAAGTATTCTTTTTAATAGGCTATATATTTACTAACATTTATTTAGCACTCACTAGGTGTTATACATTGATCTAAGTGCTTTAAATGTATTCACAGCAATCCTATTAGGTCAGTATAATTATTATCCACATCTTATAAATGAGGAAACTGAGGCACAGAGCAGTATAGGTGACTTATACTGTTGTCACACAGCTAGTGAATGACAGGACTGATATTTAAACTCTGGCAGTTGGGTTTGGAGCTTGGAAGTTTAATCTTTGTATTATTTTGCCTATTCCTTGCATTCTTGAATATTCAGAAGTGTTTGTTGCCATAATACTAACAGTACTAATACTAGCAGCAGATTCATGTATAGCACTTAATATAGTCCAGGCACTATTTTAAATACTTCACATGTGTTAAATTAAATAATAGTAGTTGTATGAGATAGGTGCTTTTACAGTGCCACTATTACGACTGAGGAAGCTCAAGACATAGGTTAAGCAGCCTGTCCAAGGTTACATAATTAACTTGGCACAGCCCAGTTTTTAATTCATGACCAGCTAGCTCTAAAAATTTGTACTCCTAGTCGTTAGGCTGTATTTCTTCTGTTGCCTTAAAATACTTAAATATCAGATGGCCTGGTTATATAATTTTTGGATCGCCCATTTCCTTAAGAATCTACATTGTCATTGTACCACTGTATTTTGTATAGAATGTTTCTGTGGGGGAGCCTGGTTTGTGTGTTTTTTTCCTCTAAAGTTCAACAACTTCTCTGTTGACTTTCCCTGGGACATGTGATACTATTTAAATCTTTAGATTCCAGGCTTTTCCCCTCTTCTTTTTCCTGGAAAGCTTTCTTTAAATATTGTTTTCTGCTCCATTATTTTATTTCTCTGTGTGTATGTTAGATGTCTTTTATCTGCGTTCCATAGGTATCATTTTATTTCTGAACTTTTACATTTTTGTGTTTAATCTTGATTTTCTCAATCCTGTTTCCTACATCCTTTTTCTATGTTTTTATCAGTGACTAGTGTTTTTTTATATTGGCTTATATTGGTTTCAGTGTGACTTTCATTTCTCTGATGATTCACTATTTTCTTTCACTTTCTTGAGCCATACCAGCTCATTTTTCAGCTCTTTATGTTCTCTTGCCATATTTTTTCAAAGCTCTTTTTCTCTTTTTTTTTTTTTTTTGGAGGAATTGTTTTATTGAGTGGTGTTAAATTGTGACAGTATCTTTGGTCATAATTTTTATTTGCTCTGTGGCAACATTTTTCTGCTGAGTTTTCTTTCACTGCCATGTGTTCCCTACCTTTGCTCTCTGCTGATTATTACTTATATTTGAATATCTTGAGTTCTTCTTGGACTAGCTGCTTGCTAGTCTAGATGTACGTAAAGGGAAAGGTCATGATCATGTCCCAGACCAGCAGGAAATAACCCAATTTACTTAAGAGTCAGGGTTACATGTTGAGTTACTTTAGGTTTTATTAGTACACATAAATAGAGATCAGAAACTTTAGGGGTGCTTGGAGTGTAGAGTGCTGTGCCCATAGTCTTTTTTTGAAAAACACAGTGCATCTGTATGTTTCTGTATTCAGTTTACCTTCCCTCTTTTTTGATAAAAATTTCTCCAGGGAAGCTCAAGTCACCAAGCATGCACCCTGTTCCTGTTTCTGCACATGAGAGGTATTGATTTTCCCCTCAGGGCATGCCATCCATTTTAAAGAATTACGTTTTGGCAGCTCTGTTTGAGATCTGCAGTCATCTCTCTCAGCATCTTCCTATCTGACTTATACTGCAATTGGCAACCATTTCTCATATATTGTGCCTTATTGTTAAAGATCTCTCCTGATTTTATTAGAGTTTGTTTTTCTGTTTTTCATTCTTGTTTTGGAGTAATTTCTAGAGAAGAAAAGAACAATGCCATTTTACTCTGCTGTTTTAGAAGAGGAAGTTATTGTTTAGCGGACTTAGTAATATTTGACATTTTAATCTCTAGGTATTTTAATGAAGGGACTGTCTTGGCACATTATGCAGATGTCCTGGGTCTTTTGCTTAGATTGCGGCAAATTTGTTGCCATACTTACCTTCTTACAAATGCAGTGTCTTCCAGTGGCCCCTCAGGTAGGTAAATTTGATTGCTTCCTATCATTGTTATTTGTCAGAGATACTTAGATAAGAATGATCAATTTTTTTATGTAGCATACATTTAGTTTGTTATTTTGTTCTGTCAAATGGAGATTGCTTTTAGTGTGAGACTCAGCTAGGAATATATTCAATAATTTTTTTTACCAGTGAAAAGGAATTATAATGAGGTCTTTCCAGGAATTCCAGTGATAGATACCCTTTGATGAAAGATTCATATTGGATCTGCCTTTTATTGTGTGCTGGTATGTCACTATCATGTTATAATGATGCTTCTCTATGAGGTATATTACGTGAGTTGGCTACTATTTTGGCTTCTGAATGTTTCTTAAATTTCAAATTTAAATTATGCTTTTTGCCTGTGACAGAAAATGATGAGAGACTTTCCCTACTGGCAAACGAAACTTTTCCTTATATAAGATAGATTAACTTGTCATATTACAAACCTTGCTCTGACATTAATTTTTCAGCCTTTTCTCTAGGAAATGATACACCTGAAGAACTGAGAAAGAAGTTAATAAGGAAGATGAAGTTAATTCTGAGCTCAGGTTCAGATGAAGAATGTGCAATTTGCCTGGATTCTTTAACAGTTCCTGTGATAACACATTGTGCACATGTATTTTGTAAACCCTGTATTTGCCAAGTCATTCAGAATGAGCAGGTTAGTTTTTTGCTCAGTAGAGGTTCAGTGTTTGATAGAGTAGTGTACCTGTCTTTAATAAAAGATAATATATGGAGTTTTGCAATTGGATTTAATAATACACCTTTGATAGTTAATTATTCCAGTATTTTAATAAGTGATATATTTCTCCTAATGCAACACTTTCAACATAAAAAGATGTTCACAATCAATATCTTAATTCCACTAACTGTTTATATCATTGCTGTTCAATAAATGGATTGATAAAGTGAGACACAAAGGTAATTTTAAGTTTTCTAGTAGTCATACTCTTAAGTAAAAAGAAACATTAAGCTAATTTTAATACATTTGTATTTAACCCAGTATATCTAAAATATAAAAAGTATTAATGTGATGTGCTTTTTGCAAAAAACTAAATCTTCAGAATTTGATGGTAGTGTATACTTATAGCACACCTCAATTTGGCTTAGCTACATTTCAAGGACTTAATTGCCCCATGTGATTATTGGCTATTGTGTTGGATAAGGTAGGTCTAGATTCTTTTGTGTGGTTGAATTTTTTTGAAGTAGACTAGTTTGTTAAGCAGTCATTCAGCTAGGGTAGAATTTTTTTAAACATTTTAAATTGATATATTTAGAAAAAATTAATAAATTCATGATTAAATAGCTCAGTGAATTATCATGAAGTAAATATATTCCTGTATCTACTGCCTAGGTCCCCTTGTGGCCCCTCCCAATCATTTACCCTCTCCCTCTTCCCCAAAAGTAACCCCATTGTACTGACTTTTAAATAATTTTACCTTCAGAATTATTTTATTGTAATGGTGTTTTATATATAGTTATTTAAGATATCTTATTTTATTAGCAGGTTCAAATGGGTACAACAGATGTTGCTTTGGAATGAACTTGATAGGATTTAACAGATCCTAGTAGCTTTATAAGCTGTTATTAGCTTTATAAGCTTAATAGCTTTATAAGCCATTAAGATGGATTTTTTTTTTTTTAAGAATAGTACTAAATAGTGTAGCTCTATTGTATTTAGGTTCAATAAACTGTTATTCATGACTTTTTTTTAAACTTGCTTACAAACGTTATAATGTTTAGTTTCTTGCTGTTGCTTCTAGCTAGTCCAGATCACATATGTTTGCTCCCTCCTTTACCCATTCTACTTATCACATGTCTGGAATTCAGCATGTTCAGATGTCTCTTAAATGGATGAAATCTATTAAAAGGTTTAATAAAATGTTAGCTATGAGAGATACAGATTTTAGCATACATTTAAAAATTTTTAGGCATATTTATATTTGTTCTTCTGTTAAGTGTTGCTCATACTTTTTTCTTTCTTATATAGCCACATGCTAAATGCCCTTTATGCAGAAATGATATACATGAAGATAATTTATTAGAATGTCCTCCAGAAGAATTAGCATGTGACAGTGAGAAAAAGTCTGATATGGAATGGACATCCAGTTCAAAGGTAGAGTACTCAGGTGCAAATATTTGAGTATTTGTTTAACCTTTATATAAGGAAATATACACAGTATATCAAAATCATAATTCTGCTTTCATTCCTGTCATTTGCGTATTCTGTTGTTGACCACTGTTTATTTTTAGTGGTGAATCTGAGAGGAAATAGAATGGGTTCAGATTATTATAGTGTTCTTTCAGTCTTAATTCTTTGTTTTAAATGAGTAGTCTTTTGCATTTTAGGGAAATAATATTTCAGGACTTTTTCTTTATGATAAAAACTTTCAGACTAATTTTACTGATTTAAAATGGAATCTAACGGACATCTTAATATTTTTTCAGATTAATGCGCTAATGCATGCATTGACTGACTTAAGAAAGAAGAATCCCAACATAAAAAGTTTGGTTGTTTCTCAGTTTACAACATTCCTGTCTTTAATAGAAATACCACTTAAGTAAGTTCCATGGTGTTTTTCACTTTCAGTAAAAGGATTTTATATGATTGTATTGATTTGAATAGCAAAAAAAAATAAAAAGCTTATTTCTTTTGCCAGTTTTAGTCATTTTATCTAAAAGATACTGAGAGTCACAATAGAGAATACTTCCTGGCAGCACAGGAATTTAAAGATTAAGTCCTGAATTTATCAGAAAATGACTGACTGCAGTGTCTAGCATATTAATAAGTGTTCAGTAAACATTTGTTAACATAAATGAGTGAAAGAATTTATTGAAGAGATTTGTGGTTACTTAACTCTGTTTTATTTTTATAATGATAGTGTTTGTTGCTTGTCTCTTTTCTTCCCCCATTAAGAGCCTCTGGATTTGTGTTTACTCGTTTGGATGGTTCCATGGCCCAAAAGAAAAGAGTTGAATCAATTCAGTGTTTTCAAAACACTGAAGCAGGATCTCCAACTATAATGCTTCTGTCCTTAAAAGCAGGTGGAGTTGGTTTGAATCTGTCTGCAGCTTCTCGAGTGTTCTTAATGGATCCAGTAAGTAGTTTTGTAAATTTTTTCAGAACCTTAGTACTTCTTTCAAAAAAATAGACCAAAAAAAATTTGGTAAATACCTTCATAGTTATAATTAACTGTGAATATTCTTAGGCAAACTTTAGAAATAGATAACAAAAACTTAGTAAATGTAGATTAAGAGCTTTCTCTTAAGCACTTTACTGAAATCCTCACAACATCCTTATGAGGTAGATAACCATTATTAAATGCTGTGTTTTGGCCAGGCGCTGTGGCGCATGCCTGTAATCCCAGCAATTTGGGAGGCCAAGGTGAATGGATTGCCTGAGCTCAGGAGTTTGAGAGCAGCCTGGGCAACATGGCAACATGGCAAAACCCCATCTCTACAAAAAAAAAAAAGTACCAGGAAAGTTACTCGGGTGTGGTGGTGTGTGCTTGTAGTCCCAGCTACTTGCTGGGCTGAGTCGGAAAGACTGCTTGAGCCCAGGAGGTTGAAGTTTCAGTGAGCCATGTTCCTGTCACTGCACTCCAGCCTGGGTGACAGAACAAGAACCCGTCTCTGAAAGAAAAAAAAGAAAAAAAAAGCTCTGTTTTACTGAAGAGGCAACTGAAGCACAGAAAAGTAAATAATGTGCCCAGTATCACAGTTTAATAGGCAAAACCAGAATCATAGTCCATGTATTTAAGTACTATTATGCTATGCTATTCTACTTTTCTTGTATAATAAATCTTTATTAACCATAATGCTTTTTAGGATAGTGGTTCATTCAGCTGACAAATAATGAGATCCTGCTTTGTGTCAGTTGTTATAGGCACTGGGAATCTAATTATAAACAAGATAGACAAAATGACTACCATCATGGTTCTAGTGGTCTTAAGCTTTAATGTGCATACAAATTAGGTAAATGCAATTTCTTTTGCATTTAACTTAGAGACTTAGGCGTTCTAGGATTAGACTCAGGAAGCTGCATTTTTAGCATATGTCATAGGTGATTCAGGTATAGGTGGTCTAGGATCACAATTTGTGAAACAAATGATCATTAATGGAATGTTCTGAGTACATTTTAATGCCTAATACAGTGCAGTCACTTGTGGTTGTGTGTAGTACAGGCATAAGGGTAGAACAGAGGCTAAAATTCACTTTGAACTTTACTCACCAAGCTGTGTGACCTGGACCTGCTTTCACATAGGAACATGTTTTTCTACATGTACAGAGGGGCTGTTTGGCTTGAAAGGACCTTGGACTAATTCAGTTTCTAATTTGCACTAGGTACTATGTGGGCTAGAGGCAACCTCTGCTGTTTCTGTGCATTCAGACTTAAGATTTGTGGTTGTAGCTTGTTGCCTGAAACTCAGAAGACTTTTAACATGTAGAAATTCTACTGAGATACAAATTTTAGTTACTTGGGTGAGGCTACCTTGTTGATGCATATATGTTTACTGAGGCTTCCTTTTTCCTCCCTCCACCGAGGGTATCCTTCTCAGTAAGATTGGGTATCCTCAGCAAGATTATAACTCGGGTCATCATACTTAGGCCTTCATGGGTGAATATCGTGGATATGGTATGGTCTGTTGTATTCCCCCCCCCCCCCTTTTTTTTTTTTTTGAGACGGAGTTTTGCTCTGTCGCCCATGCTGGAGTGTTGTGGCACGATCTTGGCTCACTGCAACTTACACCTCCTGGGTTCAAGCAGTTCTCTGCCTCAGCCTCCTGAGTAGCTGGGATTACAGGCACCTGCCACCATGCCCGGCTGATTTTTGTATTTTTAGTAGAGATGGGGTTTTACCATGTTGGCCAGGCTGGTCTTGAACTCCTGACCTCGTGATCCACCTGCCTTGGCCTCCCAGAGTGCTGGGATTACAGGTGTGAGCCACTGCACCCGGCCGGTCTCTTGTATTTTCTTGCTTTAGTACTGTGGATGAAGTTTTAAACCTTTGTTGCAGTATTTTCTGGCTACTATACAAAAATATAGTATATCGCGCCACTGTACTCCAGCCTGGTTACAGAGCAAGACTCCATCTCAAACAAAAAAACAAAACAAAACAAAAAAAAACACTTGTAGTTTTAATTTAAAATTTAATGATCCTTATCCAAACAATTCATGATTCATGATACTATTTAAAAACCACTTACCAGAGTTCTGTATCTTTTTGGTTATTCTTCCCTTTTCATTGTTGCACCATTTTATTTTATTTATTTTTTTTTGAGACGGAGTCTCACTCTGTCTCCCAGGCTGGAGTGCAGTGGCGTGATCTCGGCTCACTGCAAGCTCCGCCTCCCAGGTTCGCGCCATTCTCCTGCCTCAGCCTCCCGAGTAGCTGGGACTACAGGTGCCCGCCACCACGCCCGGCTAATTTTTTTTGTATTTTTAGTAGAGACGGGGTTTCACCATGTTAGCCAGGATAGTCTCGATCTCCTGACTTCGTGATCCACCTGTCTCAGCCTCCCAAAGTGCTGGGATTACAGGCGTGAGCCACCGCACCCAGCCCATCATTTTATTCGTTAGCTTAAAACAATTCTCATGATCAGGTCTGTGTTAATTAGCTAGTGGTACTTTTTTTAGCTCAGCTTTAAAGTCAAACTAACTTCAAATACTGATACAGAAAATTGCATCAAAAAAACAATTTTTAGGACTTCTGACTCTTAAAACCCTTTTTTAATACTTTTATTTCATGAACAGAGGAAAGTGCAAGAAAACCAGAAAAGGGGGAGAAAACTTTTTTATAAATAGGCCCAAGAATTGCATCTTTTCTCATATAAATTAAGTCACCTAAGAGGATGTATAAACTTTTTCTGCTGTTAAGCACACATAGATTCTTTTAAAAATGAAAAAAAAAAAAAAAAACCCAGAAATTGATTAATCAACAAATACTTATTTTGGGTGCTAACACATATGTCGGGCCCTGTATTAGGTATTAGAAGTAGTAGTATGGGGAGGATGCCTATTATCATAGTGATTGGGAGGGTGGATTTTTCTCCCAGAATATTTGTGATGTTAGTATCTGACTTCAGGCAGAAAACTTTCAGTAAGAAAAAGATGAATGAATACTAGTGAAATGAAAGGACAAATGCAAAACACTCAAAGATCAGGGCAGTAATAAAGCAACTCATCCATGTTCTTGTTAGGCCTGGAATCCTGCTGCTGAAGATCAGTGCTTTGACAGATGCCATAGACTTGGCCAGAAGCAAGAAGTTATCATCACAAAAGTGAGTTTTTAAACAAACTATTTTAAGACTAGGTTGATATGATTTTTACAATTAAGTAATGCACAAATACATTATTATAATGATTCAGTGGAATTATGCAGAGCAAAATATACACCTTTTTCCTCCTTCAATAATTTAATATATGCTGTTTAAGGGCCCTTTCTTTGTACATACATTTATGTTTATGTGTACATCTCCTTAAAAACATTCTTTTAAAGATAAATGAGATTATACTTTATTCTACAACATACTTGTTTCCGTTAAAACTGTACATTGGAGACTACCTCAGAAGTACATTTAGATGAACACATTTTTAAAAATAGTGGTAAAATACAAAATTTACCATTTTGAAGTATACAGTTTAGATGCATTAAGTACACTCATGTTGTGCAACAGCCATCACAATCATCTGTCTCCAGAACTTTTTCATCATCTCAAATTGAAACTATGTATCCATTAAATAGTAACTTCCCATTCCTCTCCCCCAGCCCCTGGCAACTACCATTCTACTTTCTTTGAATTTGACTACTCTGCAAAACCTTATAGATACATCATAACGTATTTAACCCATTAAGTTTTTTCTAATAAAAACAGTGCCATAATGAGCATTATTATATATAAATCTTTGCACATAGATGCAAGTAATTCTTTGGGATAAGTTAAGAAAACTAGAATTTTGGATTTAGAATTTTTATTAACTATCAAGTTGGTTTCAAAATAGGATTTATATGAAAATTGTTAATTTATGCTTCTGTGGCCAAAAAAGTGCTGTTCTAATTTGCATTTACCTAAAACCTTGAGTATATTTCACATATCTTGTTTATTAACATTTTTTCCGTGAATTATTTGTATCTTCTGTCCAGTGCTCATAGTTATGGTGCAAATAGTTTTATAGTATAAAGGACTCCCTGATACAGTCTGACTTTAAATCTTCTGTTTATGTATGTTAAAAATGGTTTATCCTATACTCTTCCTTGTCTTTAAACTGCATTTTTTGGTCATGAAAAAGCTTTAAAATTTTTATGATTTAAAATGTCAGCCTTTTTTTATACGTTCTAGGTTTTAAGGTCTTACCTAGGACAGAAGGCTTTATTTTCACATTTTTTCAACTATTCTGTATTTACTTATGGTTCTTTTGGAAGATTTTATTTTTTGTTTTATGATTTGTGACATGAGTCTAAGCTTATTCTTTGATCAGATGAAGAACAATTTGTTCTGTCACATCATATCATTTTTTTATTTGAAAATTCCAACTTTTTCCCTACTAGTGTGAAATGTCACTTTTATCATAAACTAATTTATATATATTACTTGGGTCTTTTTCTAGATTATTCTATTCTGTTGATCTCTTTTCCTTTTCTTAGAGCAGTATTACTCTTATCACAACTATGGTTTCCTAAAGTAAGTTTTGATATCTGATAGGGTAAAATATTCTGATTACCCTTTTTGAAAATTGTATTGGTGGTTATTATTATTACTCTTGAATTGAACTTTAGATTTTGGTTATAAAATCCCATTTAAGATATCTTGTTTGAGATTTATTGAATTTATTATTACTTTTGAGAACTATCTTTCTTTATAAATAAGGAATGTTTCTATACAGGAACATAGTATCTCTTCTCCATTTATGTAGATCTTTTATGTATTTCAGTAAAATTTTATTATATAACTTTAGTTACGGCAGTAATTGGGACTTCTTAAATAATGTTAAATAGTAGCAGATAGTGACCATTCTTCACTTGTTTCTGTTTTGTTGAGAATACTTTTATTGTTTCACATTAAATATGTAAGGTTGAGACATTCATTCGTAGTTAGGGTATTTTCAAATCAAGTTTTTATCAGGAATGAGATGATCATGTTTTATTTTTCTCTTTGTTAGTGTTATGAATTATACTAAAGATTCATTCTTGAATTTCTGGGAATGGCCTTTTTTTTTTTTTTTTGAGATGGAGTCTCGCTCTGTCACCCAGGCTGGAGTACAGTGGTGTGATCTCAGCTCACTGCAAGCTCCACCTTCCGGGTTCACACCATTCTCCTGCCTCAGCCTCCCAAGTAGCTGGGACTAAAGGCGCCCTCCTCCACGCCCAGCTAATTTTTTCTATTTTTTAGTAGAGACGGGGTTTCACTGTGTTAGGCAGGATGGTCTCGATCTCCTGACCTCATGATCCACCAGCCTCGACCTCCCAAAGTGCTGGGATTACAGGTGTGAGCCACTGCGCCCGGCCAGAGTGGCCTTTTTAATATAATGCTGAAGTCATTTTTCCAGAGTTGCCTATATAGTTTGCTTTTTTATCCTTTCTTTTTTGCTTTGTTTATCTCATGATCTGTAACTTCTGTTCGTACAGCCATATTCTTTATATAAGAAAACCATATTGGGTAAAGAAAGCAAAACTCAGTTCTATTAAAGAGTTATTATAGTTTGGTGCAAAAGCAATTGCGGTTTTTGCCATTAGGCAAATTGTTCATTTAGTTTTTTTATGCCTTAAAAACTACTTAACCAATTTAACTTTTTTTTTTCTTTTTAAAGTTCATTGTAAAGGACTCTGTTGAAGAAAATATGCTGAAAATACAAAACAAAAAGAGAGAACTTGCAGCAGGAGCCTTTGGAACTAAAAAACCAAATGCTGACGAAATGAAACAAGCCAAAATTAATGAAATCAGAACATTAATTGATTTATAATTTGTGGGATTTTAGTAAGGTCAGTTTGATTGGATACTTAAGTTTTAGAAATGAGAAAAATACAGTTTTAGAAATGAGATCTAGAGAACATGTCTTCTAAAAGGGGCATATTGTTTTATATTAGTGAAGAGGTATTACTGACACAATTTCTTCTATATACGAACCTATTTTTAATGAAACTTCAAATAGCAATAAGTTCTCTTATATACTGTGGCCTAAAATAATTTTTTGAGAAAAAAAGTTACTTTGTTATTTAGCTTTTCATAGCATCTATGCTGAGTATTTTCATGTATCTTCCAAGTACTCAGCTTTTTCGTATTTCAAATAAGGTCAGACCTTTTACACTTTTGACCAAATAGTTATTTTCTATGTTAGACACTTAGTTATTTACCAAAGCCTCCAATTTGTGATGCAGTGTTTGTAGTCCTTGTAAACAATATATACAGACCATACAAGAATTAATTTTATTGGGCTTTCAAAAACCGTATTTGCATTCCAGAACCAAATCTTAAATGAGACCAAAGTCCAGGTTAGCACAGGTTTTTATTTTTCCTACAACTACATTGAGATATAATTCACATACGTGACTTGGAGTTTTACGTTCATGAAAAAATTAGGGATTATGTTAAGAGTACTATTTTTTCCATTTTAGTTAAGTAGTACTACACTCATTGTTTAAATGTAACTTGCTGTGTCTAGGGTGTAAATATAGTCTGTGGGAGTGAGAGGCAAACCAATCCTACCCAATTTGATTTGAATATTTTAAATTATGGAACTGCTAAATAGATATTTCTATAAATAGGTAATTTTTATTTATGTAGCTTTTTTTGGAAGTAACTTTATAAATTTTTATAATTCAGAAGACTACTATATGTGAGAGGCGTGATATCTGGATGGAAGTTGGGCTGGATGATCTCCAAAGTCGTTTCAACTCTTAAAGACATCTTAATCCTGAATGTAAAAAATTGTTGTGTTTAGAATCAGAATTTAATTTTGAACTTAAGTAATTCATCCTTACATCTATCCGTAGAGACTATCTTTTTTTTTTTTTACTTTTTTGTTAATAAGCAAACTTATTTGCTGCAGAATTCTGGGTTGACTCCTGAGCATATTTAAAACAAACAAGCTAGAAATTTAGCAGTCAGATTAGGTAGGTAGTTTCATTTCAAAGGGAAACTTTAATCCAAAGAAAGATTAATTACTCTAACAAGAGAAGCTTCATGTTTGATGATACAGATGTAAGAATACCTGAGACTTTACTTGGAGTGTTGGAAGTGATTTGATAGAAAGATGAGATCAGAGACAATGTTGTGTTATAGGGCACACATTGAAGGTATATGCCAAATCTCTCACCATCTAAGTCCTTTTCTCCCTGTGCCCTGTTTTCTTGCTCAAAGGGAACAGTGAATTAGCCAGCTAGAATCTTCCTGGTCCCTTTTTGAGGCGGTAGCAGGTAAGGGATGGGCTGATTTTCATCAAAACCAAGACCTTTCTACAGGAATGATAGTGGAATAATAATTTGGGATTAGCCCACTGGCATTAGGAGCAGTAGGGAAGTTACCTGGTAGATCAAGCATTACACACAAAAAAATCAAGTTGATCAGAGTATGGGTTCTCCATATAGCAATACTTCAGTGAGATTAAGTATAAACAGTTTTTGGCAAAAAACAACACAATCTACTCTTCCTGCTTACAAAGACAAAGCCTTACAAACTCACTGTGAAGGTAAAGGGAGGACAGCTTACTTCTTTGCCCAGATATTTACAAAGTTGTTTTTAAAACACACTCATAAGTTTGGCAATTTGTTTAAAAAATGTCTTGTTTTGTACAGTTCTGTTAGATGTTAAATTTTAAAAAGTTTAATTAAAAAAATTTAATTTGTCCTTCCTAAGAAGGATAAATATATTAAAAAGCCACTGGAACGAAAACTTCCTATTATGCTATGCTGTTTTATTATTACATAGAAAAATAACTTTAGAAAAATATTGAAGACATTGTATTACCAGTTGTGATTCAAACAATTTTGTGGTTAAAACTGGATTTTAAATTTAAAAATCAATAAAAATTTCAAATGTTTATTACCATCCTCGGTGCCATAATTTTGACTTTATTTTCAAATAAAATAAATCCTTCATTAATAGTGACCTTTCTATGCAAGTGTTACGTTTTTATTGAGAGTACACGAAGATTACTTTAATAGAATAATGTACTCATATCCTACCCTTTATTTTACTCAATTTAACTGGCTGAAATTCTTGTTCAGAAATCAGAGTGCTTATTTAAAATGGCTTGATCTAAAAACATTGGTCCCAATTAATTTCCTCATCTGGAAGAAAGAAAGGAGTTGTGATAATACCTATATATACACAGATAGCACTCTGAATCACTGTATATTTTGTCCTTAAAATTACAGCTCTAGAATTGGAAACAGAAACTAACCACATGTAGTTTGTTACCAGTGAGTACTAATGAAATTATCTTCGGCAGTGTGTTCTGTTTTGGGGAATGGCAAATACATTGCTGTATTTTTTTCTTGTTTTATTTATAGTACTTGCCAAGATTTATGCATTAGCATTTGGATGAGCTTCATTAAAAATATAAGGGCACATTTGATGTTTGGCTTATAACAACTCAAATGTTTAACCTCAAGTTTTTAACACATTAACTTCAAAATATCTGCAAAATGTGTTATACAGCAGGACAATATGGGTTTAAGGAGAATTAAGGTAAATATTTACTTTATGTATAAACCATAGCTCCGTTCCACCATGGAGCTAATCTCCAAAGGCGTGGATTTGACCTCTGTTGTGGGTAAGTTTGTCTTACAACCAAAGGTCATACTTACCATTGCAAGGGGATAAATATATATGGATCACCTCTGCAAATATAAATCTTGTTACTGTTGCCTTTTTATACATTTTACTAAGTTACTATTGAGTTTGAGTTACTGTTGCTTTATACATACTAGTAACCCTTAGTATTCTGGACTCCCTAGAAAAGATTTTCCAATATTTGTATAGCTTTATATGGAAAAGTTAATACTTCACCTTAAGACATAGATCATAGAAGGAAAAGAATGTTTAGTTCAGTGACTTTCTAGCCAAATAACTGAACAGCATTACATGCTATGTCTTAATGGCAAGCTTGTCATTCTTTCTGATTCCAAAAGTTAATAGCCTTCACTACTTATTTGAAATTTAAAAATTGGCTGGGCGCAGTGGCTTCCGCCTGTAATCCCGGCACTTTGGGAGGACAAAGTGGGTGGATCACGAGGTCGAGATCTGAGACCATCCTGGCAATGTGGTGAAACCCTGTCTCTACTAAAAATACAAAAATTAGCTGGGCATGGTGGTATGTGCCCATAGTCCCAGCTACTCGGAAGGCTGAGGTAGGAGAATCTCTTGAATCCAGGAGGCAGAGGTTGCAGTGAACGGAGATCGCGCCACTGCACTCCAGCCTGGTGACAGAGCAAGACTCCGTCTCCAAAAAAAAAAAAAAAAAAAAAGTTATGTCAGCTTTTCACCTTAGAGCTTCATTATGCTACTGTGTAAAAATTAGAGAATGAACGGGGTAGTAAATGGAAAAAACGCTGAATGCATATTGAATGTCCACAAAAATAAGACATTTTTTATCTGAAGACTGTGTTTCTGTTAATCTTAACCAGGGACTCGGAAGCCAGAAAGACCTCAGACTAGCTAAAATTATTTTGAGAAGTCTCTGTGCCACAGCACCTGACACATGGAGGCACTTCAGTCAGTCTTTGGTAAATGCTTCATTGTACTTGAAGATCAATAGTGACTCATTCTTCACCAGTCCAAATAGCTAGTTTATTTTCAGAAGTCATTTATCATTTAATATTTTATAACTCTACGTAAAGCCTCAGGTTCTTCTTGAGCTCCTATGGTAGCAGCCTTCAAGGTGGCCCCAACCATTCTTGACTTAAGCTGTCTATATGCTTGTATGTTAATTCACATCAATATGAGTAAGGAGGGTGACCTTGAAGGCTAAGTCACAAAAGCTATGCAGCTTTTGCCCAATCAAACCTCTAAAGTTTCTTCCTGTCATGGTTAACTGTCCTGTTTTCTTCCATAGAATCATTTCTGACCACTCATTTTAGTTTTAAAAGGTCATCTTGGATCCTACCCTTCTTTAGCTTGCCATCTCTTACAACCTAGGATGATCTATAAATTTAATAAATACGCTTTTCCATTCCATCATTTTAAATCATCGATACAACACTAGTAGGCACTGGACCCAGTACTGATTCTGACAGTTAGGAATGACTTTAAAGGTTAAAATATTCTAAATAGCTGAATACCCATAATAGGGAGGTGCAGTATGAATGACACGATGTAAGTTTGATCTCAGTTTGTTCTGTCAGATCCATCACCATCACAGAAAAACAATTAGATTGAAATCATAGATAACAGTTTTTAAAGCATATATCCCAATGTCAAGCTACACTTTTTTAAGACTATGACAAATTCCAAAAATTATGAAAAATTCCCTAATAGATTTGTTCAAGGGTGTGGTAAGATTCCTTAATTTAATTCAACAACCAAGATACAGCAGTAAGTCTTTATTTTTTGTACAGGGTGCCACCGCAGGTAACCATCAGAGAACACGCTGCTATTTTCAAATATACAGAACTGAACAAAAGCATTTTAGCATGCTGCCTTACTGTACATAGAAAACTGGTGAGCATCTTCAGACACTAAGACCAGGAAATAAAATGGGTTAAAGGTATTTGCTGATACGTTTATGAATCACTCAGCAGTGTTAATATAGCTTATCTTTACCTGAAAGCAGAATTACACTCACTCACTGGCAGCACTGGGCAATCCTAAGATTCAGGTCTCGTGAAAGGTAGGCACAACCAACAAGCAAGCAAGGAACAGATGCCATGTCTGCTTCTGAAGGGAGTGACTGACTTTGAAGCAGGCTCTGCAGATTTTAAGAATTGATACAGCTGTCTTAATAGCTTAATATTGAGTTTTCCTTACTTTGTATGTTGGCAGTCAACAAAAGAATTTCTGAAACAAGCTAAATAGGATTATAAAGCAGAACACTGTCCATGTAACAGAATTGCTGCTTCACAACTTTTGCCCAGTTCTCACCTCTTATCCTAAAAAAACCTCTCATCTGATAAGTTTTAATGAAAACCTCTAGCAACTGTAACAGACTTTTTTCAACCCAGCTCTAGATACTAAGTATCAGAAACAAGGCTTGTGAAGTGAATGTGTTCACAGAAAAATGCAGTGTTTCTACTGGAGGTAAGTGTCAAGTTTCCTCTTGATGTTGTCAAAGGAATCTGCTCCCATATAATCAGCCTGGCCCTGTTCCCATCGCTCCTTCCGTTCTTCCGAGGATACAAATGGCTGTGCCATAGCTGGGATCTCCCCAAGGGACAGATGTGATATGGCTCCTGAGACATCTTCCTAGAAAGGAAAGCGTAATTGACTCTGAGAGCTGAAAATCAAACTGTTTTAAAGAATGCAATAAACTGAAGACAGTGAGAAAAGCCAGGATGAATCATGCAAAGTAGCAAAAACTGAAAAGTATTACATGAAACAAACAAAAAAGACACAAAAATATAAAGATTATATGATTTTTTCCTAACAAAATGAAGACTTCTTGACTCAGTGAAAACATTGGGAGAACAAAGTAATTAGGGTTAATGTTTAAGTTCTGCATACCTTTCTACAGAAGCCACAAGAGAAAGCCAGTGTATAGACCAAGTCTGAAAGCTGCAAACAGTTCATTAGAAAGTGTAAGATGGATGGGCAAGGGAACACAAAGTCTCAAGATAAATTCTCAATCTGTGTGGGCTCTGAAAGGTTGAGAACTTAAACAAAATGATACCCCAACAGGCTACATTTCAGAAAGAACCTAACTAGAGAGCCGCAACACATACTCAGTTATCACATTGTAAGAAGGAAAGTTAAACTGGTTTGAGACTAGGTACCAAACTTCTCTGCTTGTTCAAGCTTTCATTTGGATTACCAAGTAGCATCTGTTCATTTAATTTACTTAGTTTTGAACATCTTTCAATTCCCATCTTCACCTTTCCTTGGTTCATAATTCCAGCCCTCATATTGCAGAAGGAACAGGGTAGATGTGCAACAAAGCAGACCTAGTCTACATTAAATTTGATTCTCATTACATGTACATGGGTGATCAACTTCACATGTACCACAAATTTACCAGTGCTATCCTTCAAAAAGTACTAAGGTGCAAAGGTACTGGAAATCTTAGAGAAAAAGGAAGGTAAATGAATACAGACAAGCATTGCTTTTAACAGAAAATGGTGGAAAAAGTGTTTTGACTATCTGTTTTTGTTACCATATATATGTAAGCATATAAGTATGTATTTAAATTCAGTGGAACTTTAAGGTGTTTGGGTCTATAGGATTGCATTATAGCTGAGGCAACATAAGGCCTTCCATTGGATAGTCCTGCCTTTGCCTTGTACTTGGCAACAGTAATGATACAGAGGCATTCCAGAGTCCTCTGTTCACAATAGGGGGGCTGTGAATTTATACCCTAAAAGAGAGGCCCCTGAGGTCAGGCCAAATACACTGGACATAACTTAAAATAGTTTAGCATTTAAAGTGTAACTCTCCCTTCACCTGCCATAAAAGGTACTATCTTAATTCTGGGCTGTAGATGGCTACTTTTAAGCATAGTCCATCTCAAATTTTCATAAGGATAAGTCTCTTCAGACCTGGGTTTGAAGCCCATTCTGCTACTTGTCTGTTACACAACTAAGACAAGTTATATAACTTCTTTAAGCTTTGGTTAATTTACCTATAAAAGGAGATATTAATAATACTTAATATACTTAACAATACTAATAGTACTTAATATAGTGGTTTTAAGGGTTAAGAAAGGGTAACTTTCATTAAGCATTTATGATGTGCCAGGTGGTTTTAAGTACTGCATGACAGGGGTCCCCAACCCCCAGGCCACAGACCAGTAGTGGTCCATGGCCTATTAGGAACCAGGCCGCACAGCAGAAGGTGAGTGGCAGGCGAGCAAGAATTACCACCTGAGCTCTGCCTCTTGTCAGATCAGAGGTGGTTAG